GGGCCGGGCCGCAGGTGACCGACCCCCGGGCCCGAGCGGCGCGGCGGCGGCGGGCAGCGCCGGGCTGCCACAAGGCTTTCGCCAAATGACGGCCGTGTAATTAACGCCTTTGTTGCGCCTTGGCAGGCGTCTCTCTGAGGTGGGGTGCGGGTGAACCTTGCTCAAAACCAGGAGGTTTTATAACTAAGCATTTAAAAACAAGGAACAATGGTGCTTTTGTCTGGTTATGTAAAGTGTCACCACAGATTAGTGAGATTCGTGGGTTTTTTCCATCCTCTCTCCAAATCCCTGAAGCTAAAATGACAGAGAGAAAACTGGTTTATTACCAGAGAGCCTGTTAACGTGTTTAAGTTAGTTTATGGTTAGGACCGTTGTTAGGGACACTAAAACCGAAATTATTATTGTGTTGCCCACCTAGTTGAACATCAGAAGACAAAAATTGCAAAGTATTTTGGGGATATTTTAGCTCAGCATATTTTTTCCTGACCCTATCCGCCTCTAGTAACATATTTGGTAAACAATTTATATTCTTAGTTAAGCATTAGTAAGATGCACTTCTAAAACTTAAAGCGCTTTACTAATTAGTCATGGGAACTATCATGCTGTGTTGGAAGAGGGATGGTATTTCTCTGATAACTGCTCATCCCAGGTGCTTTAAAGCAGCATATTTAGTGGGAATATGTTATTTTGAAAAGTGCAAAGAAAAGTGTGTCTTTTTAAAAAAGTGCGTGAAAGCATATGAGAAATCATTGACAATAGGGAGCTTCCCTCATAATCCCTAATAATTAGGTATATGTTTGCACTCTGACACGCTAAGCGGTTTATCTCCTCTTGGAAAACTCCCAATGACAGTTGCATGGTGCAGAAGTTACTGGTAAAAATTGCTGATTCATTTTTTTTCAGCAAACTTTTTCATTTTCAGCAAACTTTTGATAAAGATTTCCAGGCATTGTTGTATTACAGTGTCTTTCCCTTTGGTTTTATACTGCACTCTCATAAAATAGTTGGCATATCAATTTTAAAGTATTATCATTTGTTTGAAAGTTTTGGATCTAGCAGAGTAAAAATGTATGTGGAATTCCATGAGATAGTAGGTGTCAGTGCTTAAAGAAAGGTTCTAATTTTTTGTTTCTGTACTTTAAGACAAAACCTGAACATCAGGAAGGGCACAAAACATTTTCAATAAGTAGTTTTTGGGGTTTTCTTTTTTCCCCTAACTGGAACATCTTCAAATATTCATCTTCAAATCAAAATCTGGTAACAACTCTTGATATTTGTAAGACTCATTATTAGTAGAGGAAACTGAAAATATTCTTACGCAAAACTTTAGGTTTTATGTGTGATTTCTCAATTTTATGTTACTATTGTGACTTTCAAAGTTATCACCTAGGATTCAGAGCAAGCACTGATAATTAATGGTAACAGGAGGAAATACTCAAGTCCGTTACTAAACAGGAATTTTTTTCTTTTTTTAAGTGAGTTAGTGGATGGCTGAAAGTTGGCTTGACCACTGAGTTGCTGAAATGTTTTGCTGCTTGAGAGCCGTGAGAAGGTATGGCATGTTGCTGACCTGATTTACCTTTGGCATATATATTTAAGTGTTTGCTTATGACTTGCATATATGTAAAACTGGTTTGGTGTTTCTGTTTAATGCTTATGTCTTTGGTTTTTTCATCTTCACAGCTTGAAGCTTTCAACAGAGCATCCACAGTTGAAAATCCCCAAAAGCTATATGCCTGTCCTCGAGTGAGACATTAAAAAGGCTCTCAGTAAAACAAGGGTTTTAAAATAGCTTAATGACAAGAAAGTGGTTGTCTAAATCTGAATGTGATAATCAATATATTCTGCATTATTGAGTTATTAAAGCTCAGTGTTTCAAAATAAGTGAACATATCTGTAATAATGAGCTTAATTTAACAAAGCTTTTCAGTGCCAATGCTGTAAACCAAAAAGTTAAACTTCAGAGACATGTGAAGAAAAAGTAAAAAGAAAGCTGAAGGGAATTATTTCATCAATAAATTAAATCAGTCCTAGAGTACGATTGCATAATGTGTTCTTGTAGAGATTGTGTTTCATATCTTTCATGAAGTGGAGACGGCTGTCCTCGAAGTGGTTATGACCTTGATTTTATCACGAAGCCTTTCTCTGCTCTTCAGATCTGAATGAAGCTCTTGGAACAATCCTTGTTCCTTGTGAGCGAAGCCATAAGCATCTTTCTTGCATTTTCTTTCTCTGAATTCATTTTAATTCATTTATTATGTCATTTCACTTGAAGGATGCCTCAGAGTTCTGTCTTTCACCTTCAGTGAATGAATTCTTCCTTCTGTCACGCAGACTAATTTTGGCCTTTGAGCGTTTCTCTTTTAAGCAAGTTCAAAATAGACTTTTGGCTGGAATCCTGAGCCTTCCTACTAGCATGACAGTGTTGTTTAGATACAAAACAAGGGAACTAAAGTTAACTATGCTTGGCCATTTTTCTGGTAGAATACCAGATGAAAGTTTATGATTAATAAACATGGAAGTATGTTTAATAGTTTTCAAGTATGTTGGGACTTTTTGTTCCCCTAACCACTGGAAGCAGCATGGCGTGTAGCTCAAGAGTGGATGTAGGAAATGGTGTACGAATAAGGTGAAGACAAAACTGAGCTCCTTACTTCCTCCTAGTGGCTGGGTCTAGGAGGATGTTGGTTTCTTGTGTGGCTCTTAGACTAAACTGCTATCAGATAGGTAGCTGGTTAATTTACTTTTTTTTTCCCCTTTGTTGGAAAGAATTTTTTTCCTTTTTACCACTTTGTGTCGACTTGCTACCAAAAAAAAAAAAGAAAACTTCAGCTATATTTTTTTTCTCAGCGAGACAATTATTTTGGGGTGTTTCCAGATCCAAAATGGTAAAGCATATGACCAAGTGGACTTTTATCCAGTGTGCGTTGCTTCCTTTCTTGCCAGGTCAGGTAGAGGGTTTTTTCTTGCATCACTGAGCAACTCTGGCATGTTCTTGTCGTTGAGAGCTTTTGCTCTCCATAAAAGCATGATATTGCTGTGGTGCTTCACCATCTCCTGCTGTTTTGAGTAGGATTATGGCCTATAGTGATGACTAATCTTAGAGTCTTTCTAAGATGCAGCCAGCAAGGAGGTAAAGTATTTGCCAGTAATATGTTTTATCTTTTTTTTTAGTCTTCCATTTAATCCACGCGCATGAAAGTTGCTTTTAGTCATAATGGTTTGAAATTTCATCAGTCATCTTACATTACAAGTTTTCCATCCCACTTTTCTAGAAAAACTTCTCCTGTTTTCATCAAGCTGACTTTTAAGACCTACTAATTAAATATTTGCTGGCCTCTTAGGCAGAAAACATTAGTTTTAACTGCTTTCATGTTTCTAATTGAAGAGCTGAAAAGGTTGACAGAAAAAAAGTAAAGCAAGGGTCACTGCATCTGCTTGACAACTCAACTGTTGTCATTTACACTACCATTTGACAAAATGAAAAATACTGTTTATTGTCTAAACACAAATGTGGGGGTTTGGGGTTGCTTGGTTGTTTTTTTGTTTTTTTTTTACTTAATGAAAGCAGTCAGGAAATAGTCTCACGTGTTTCTGTGTCCAAGATGATTACTTGGTCTAAGATGCTGAACAAATAGCTCTTTGTAAAACGGTCTTGCTTACTATTATTAATAAAGTTACTAGTTTTATGTGAATTGGAAGCAGCTTTGCCTCCGATCTGCCATATATTTTCCTATTTGGGGCTTGCAGTTGCAATGATACTGTGAGGAGTGAAACAGTGTTGTATTGCTTAACAGAGCAGAATCTCTACCCTTCTGAGTTGCAAACTAAAGCGAACGTTAATCACGGAGAAAGTGGTTGAATTTGTTAGCCTGAAGGAGAAATCTATTATTAAATATTTACCAATTTACATTTTCTTGCTGCTTTTATATATACTGTCTCTTGGTAATTAGTTTGCAAACTTGAGCGTCAGCTTTGAGCTATGGCAGGAGCTTTTGGTGGTCTTTAATTCAGAACTTGTTTTTCCTTCCATTTCAGTCTTCCGTTACACAAGTGTGCACGTTGCAGAACTGTTGTTTGATTTATGCATAATTGGAGGTATTCAATCTTTTGTACTTTCTGAACTTCCTAAAACTTCTTCAACTTAACTTTTCCTTCTGATCTTAGGTGAAACAATCTTCTCTTCCTACCACTGAAATTTCTTTTAGTCCTTGTTTTCTTCAATTTCAGTGAAGATCAAAGGGCAAAAAAGTACTGTCTTTTTATTTGATGTCTTCTATAAAAGGGTATGTTTGGGAAAGTAGATTAACTTATTTTCTTTAATGGACACAAGTATGTGGACCTCAGAAACTAATGCAGAACTTGTTGATTGAATTGTGATTATTATTCCTGGGTAAAATTTAATATTATTTTGGCGCTGCTTGAAAAATACTGGGTTTCGGGTTTTTTTAACTTGTAGGTTCAAAAGTATGTAAGGGTTGGCTTTTAAGAGCAGGTTCAGCAATACCTACAAAAAATACCACTAAAGCCAGTCGTCTTCATTTGAACTACTTGACTGGGGAATTTTTATTTGAGCCTGCTTTGAGAAAGTAGAGGCAAAAGTTATTGTACTTATTTATGTGTCTTTAATCAGCCGTTAGCATCCACCATCTCTCAAACCTGTTGGATTTGCTCTGTATAAATACAGCTTTGTGAGTCCCAAGGGGAAGAATCCAGAACTCGGACTTCTAATACCAGTTTTAAATTATTATACTTGCAACTGTGAATGTTTACTCCATTCTGTCACATTCTAATGTAATATATATCAGTTTATCACTTGATTGGTTCCATCATACATAAAAATTTTATTACTTTACTAGGTTATGTCTGGAGAAGATATTGCTACAGTGCATTCTTCAGTCAAGAACTTTGTCAGGAGCTGATGCCATCAATGCTCTCAGACCATTCTATTTTGCTGTGCATCCAGATTTCTTTGGCCAGCATCCCAAAGAGAGGGTAAAAATCTTTTACAAAGAAATTTTACAAAAAAATACTTAAATGTGATGTATATCAAGAATGGAAATTCTCTAGTTTTCCTGCTGTCAGAGAAACAAAAGTAGCATTAGAATGGAATGTGGTTGTTACCAGAGCAAAAGAGATGCACTTTCTTTATTTTTAACAAGGATAGATCCCTTAAACACCCATTATTTATTAGTCATATTTTCTGTTTAATTGTTGTAAAGAAAATACTGAGATCTTCCAGTCTTAATTTATAATACATATTACTTGCTTTATCACTTTGAAATGCTGTGCATTATATTTGAATCAATGGCTTTCTTTAAGTTTGAAAGCCTTAAAAATGATGTTTTGGAATGTACAAGAATGTACAAGTATGTACATCATACAATTTATTCATGTGAGAGAATTATTCATTTATGCTGAGAATGTGTACTATATCACTACTTGTTAAGAGCAGCTGGTGGTTCATAACACTAATTCTGCATGTAAGATTAAAAAGAGTTAGATAAAAAAGGCCAAATTCTTCATCTGTAATGTTGGGTTTTTTCTTTTTTTTAAACAGGAAGTAAATGAAAACTCTCTGAAGAGGTTAAATGGCTACTTGGAGAATCTACAGAAACCAGGATTTCGCTCCTTTAAGCCAACTCAGCTTACTTTTTATGTAAGAGAAAGAGACCCAAACTCTTCTAATGTTCAAGAATCCTTCAGTGCTTCAGGTGCTTTTCTATCGTGCAGAATGTATCTTCCTGTATTCAAATTCTGTCAGACCGTTACTTAGTCTTGTGCAGTCATAATGAGTTTTCAACTGAATAAAGTCCTGTCAAACCATGATAATATGTATTAGATCAGACAGCTAAGACCATCCCAAGTAATTGAACGTCTTGAGCTTTAAAAAGCATTGAAAGACTAAGAAATTACATAGAGATCAAGTTATGATCAAGTTATTTCCTCAAGTATGAGGAAGTAAAAACCAGACGTTGACGTAAATGATAATTTTTCTGCTTTTAATACCATTGTCATGTTTAACTGGAACAACAGTTGGGTCCTTGTTTCATTGCAGATAATGTGTAGTACACAGTGTCAGCGTGCTTGTAGGATCAGTGGGAACTTCCTCTGTAAGCAGAAGTTGTATAATATCTGAAGCTTCAATTTATCACACTGTCTCTTAGCTTTGAGACTACAGAAAATACTGCCGAGTTTGGAATATTGTTTTTTATTAATTTTATTCTATGTATTTGTCTCTGTACCAGTATGCCTTATCTAACAGATGAGTTTTGTGTCCTATATCCTGCTAGTCAAAAGACTTGAGCAAATTTTGAGGGACCCTAGTGCTAGAAGACAAAATCATACTGTTTTTCAAGAAGATAGTAGTGTTATGTCCAGTCTACTTAAAATAACAGTTGATCTGTCAGCTGTGTTCTCTTGAGTCTAACACTTCCTTACTTTTTAATGGGACAGTTGGGCCCCATAGGTAAGTGATGGGACTTAATTTTAGCCAGTGGAAGTTTAGTGTTTTGTTCTGAAGTTTCAGTTCATAGTCTGTGAAGAGCTGCTGTAGTACTGCACTTCTACAGTAACCTATATCCAGTGATGATCAGTAATAATGTGAATTTTATAGAGCTGCTGAGCAAAATTGCCACTACTAAAGTGAAAGCGTCCTTTTTTTGGGTTATGCTGCACCTGTAGCTAGGTTTCCATTTTGTCCAATGATTCAAATAGTTAAAACAGCTCTACTTATATTTTTGGACACATAACAGTTTAAAGGTTAAACTGCACATGAGTTTTGCAGTGAGTATTGAAATAACAGTATAGTATTTTCCAACGATGTATGCCTTGTTTGGGCTCTTGTAAGATGAGAGAAATATGAATGCATTTGAAATAATGTTAATTAAAGAATACTAATTTTGTGGGGATTGTATTTTATAGGGTTTCGAGCAGTCAGTTTTACATTACATACTAGGGATCTCCTGAGCACCGTATTAGATATTCTCAACTCCTGCAGTTTATCTACGGAGCATATTCAGAGTTTGAATGCGAACTCTCAGCCCCACAAGGATGCAAAAAGCACACTGAACAGACCTATCAAATGGGATAAGACTTATTATTCATTTACTGGATTCAAGGATCCTGAGGAGGAACTAGAACAAGCCCAGAGAGTGGAAACAACTTTAATGTACGTAAGACTTTTATTTAACTGATACTTTGTAACCTAAATTGGTCTTATTCTAATGCTGAGGTTTTTTTAAAGGCAATCAATAAACATTCTGAACAATACAAAACTTTATTGTCCAACATGTAATTCTGTCACGCTTTTTATAATTAAAGAGAGTTCAAATGAGCTCCTGGGATAACTGTAATGCCTGCTAAGCTGAGCCATTCTTGTCTCTTTGCCCAGCATTCATGTTTGGTCAGTCTAGTTTTTCTTGATCTAATTTTTCAGTTTTGTGGAATATTGATGGCAATTTAGAAGTAAACAGGTTCCACTTGCTCCAAATAGCTCCTTATCTCTTACAGGACTTCTGTAACACCAGACTATAAGGCTATTAACTTTATTGTTAGTATTTCATTATCATATTCTGTTGGGGGACGGAGAGACAATACATGAAAACTAAGTTTAGAATGTTTTAATTTGCCAGATATCTTAGTGTTGTGCTTCTGATTTGTTGTTCAGCATACCAACCTTAATATTTAAACTGAGGCAATTATAAATACTGAACTTGCATCAAATGCAGCTGCTTGTGTATTAGAGGTTGGTTGTTTATAAATTCTATATGTGCTTATTTTGGGGAAGGGTGAAAAATTCTGCCTTGAAAACCTTTTTGTAACATTGAGACTTAGGTGCATTTGAAATCAATGCAGAACTGTGGTAGTATCTTCAGAGCCCTCATCCTGCCTAACACCTCACAAATAAAACTACTATAATATATGCGACTGTAGGACACTTAACTAAGATTTAACATACTAGAGAATATTTTTACTTATTTTTACACATTTACAAGAAACGCCACAAACGGTTACATATTAACAGTCTGGTTTTAATACCTAGCCATTTGGCATTGGGCCTCTCTTTTTGCTTCTGAGCTTGAATTTTTTTTCACTTAGAATACAGTAGGAGAATAGAAGTATTTGTTTGTAAAAATGAGAGTACAAAAATAAGTTTATGCTATGAACAAAGGCTTAATCTTAGAGTAGCTTTTTCCTAGAAAGAGAATGATCTATTTATTGGAAGTTTTAGATGTGCTCCGTGAGTCATGTTTGCCTGGCTGTGATTATTGACAAAAGAACTGTAAAACCTTGACCTATTTAATCTGTGTTCATCCCAGCTCTGTAAGAGTTACCTAACTTGGCCCTTTAGTACAACCTTCCTTATTCGATAGTCTACTATGATCTACTGTTGGGTTTTTTTCCTCCTTCTCTTTCAGATCCTGGCTAGATGATAATGAAGCAAGTGCAGTAAAAAAGCTGAAAAAGAGTTTGCCACTTAGAAAAGAACTAGAACGTTTAAAATTTGAACTCTCTCATCAACTCCAGCTCTCAGATATCAGGTAATAAATTAGATTAGTTGGACTTGCATTAAGACAGTCAAAGCAAGAAAGTGTTGTGTAATACTACACCATGAGCTTTAAAGGCTTATTCCAAAACACCTGTATTTCATGTATGTAAAAGTGTTACTGCATTGAATAAGACTTTTCCAGAAAAAATCTACTGGGACAAAAGTTCCCTGTTACAACCTGCTCAAAAAGACCTAGTATTTGTAACTAAAAATGTAGGCTCCAGTTGAGGCAAACGCGTAAGCACTTGAAGTAGGGCCTGTGCCTATGCATTAGTTTGAGTGTTTTGCTGGATAAAATTGCTCTTCCTGAATTCAAGTGAATATCTGCAAATGTGACTAGATCAGCAGTGAAATGCAACTTTGAACATGGTATACATTGACATACTATGAAGGCTTAGTAAAAATATGCTGTTCTTTCTAGTGTCTTGTTTCCCACACTCCAGCAGAGGAGGTTATTTGTTTGCTTGAAAGGGCTGAGTACAGTTGGTGGCCTTGATTCTTCAGGATATTTTTCAGAAAATAATGTGTGATCCTTTTTTTAAATTTTGTCCCTTTGAATGAGGATGTTCTGAAGTGGGATATTCAGGATGGGAAAATGGCAGTGAGGGTATTCAAAAACAGGAAAATAAACTTTGGGGGATTATTTTAAGGGCTAGTCTGTTAAATTCTCCTTTTACTCACAAAAGAGAGAGCTGGAGCTTCTGAAATCATGCTTTTGTTCCTTTCACCCTGGTAAAGACCCTGGCTTCCTTTAAGCTGAAGCCAGTTTTTGTGAACACAATTTCTAATCCTCTGCAACTGTGCTGTGGTGGTTTGTGTTTTTTTTTATTTAAGGAAGTTTGTGTACCCATGCGTAGGTTTGGGTTTATTCATGGCTTATATTTAATTTTCTTCCAGTTTATGCTTTTAAAATACAGCAAAACAATTGTGTTCCCTGCAGAGTCATTAGCCTTCCAAGAGTTGTATTACCGTAATTCAGAAAATGTCAGCATCAGGAATCTGACAAGCAAGTATCTTAATAGGAAACTACTACTTGTGATCCTGCAGCCTAATGCTACTGTTCAGGGGTTTGGAAAATAATGGCATTTGGCTTTTTTCCATGCCTAAGATTAGGAATACTGAAGGATCTGTAAGTCACCTTATTACATTCCTGCCTGGTGCTACTGAAAGCGAAGTGATATTGCTAGGTAACAGTAAATAGTTATTAGAATTACTTGCATTATAATAGCTTGAATTGCCTCATAAGTGCTGTGGCATAGTCCCATTATCTGCATCCCAGAGTGGCTTTTTGCCAGTTAGATTTCCCAATGTGGGTTGTCCCCAGCCAGCAGCTGAGCACCCACACAGCTGCTTGCTCATATGCCCCCAGCAGGATGGGAGGAAGAGAATAGGAAAAGTAAAAGCAAGAAAACTCGTGGATCAAGGTGGAAGTTTAATAGGTGAAGTGAAACCAAGCTGTGCGTTCAAGCAAAGCAAAAGGAGGAATGCATTCATTACTCCCTGTCGACCCGCAGGTGTTTAGCCACTTGTGGGAAGCAGGGCCTCAGCCTGTGTAACAGTTAATTAGGAAGGCAAAGGCCGTAACCCCGAAGGTCCCCCATTTCTCATCCTTTCCCTGAGCATTTATTGCTGAGCACGATGTTACCTGGTCTGGAATATCCCTTTGGTCAATTGGAGTCACCTGTCCTGGCTGTGTCCCATCCCAGCTTCTTGCGCTCCCCAGCCTACTCACTGATGGGGGCAGCGGGAAGAGAACACCTGGACACTGTACCAGCTCTGCACAATAGCCAAGAGTTTGCTGTGTTATCAACTCTATTTTACTAAAAAATCCAAAATACAGGGGTGCTATGAAGACAATTAACTCCATCCTGGTCAGACCGGTACAATAAGGGAATTGTAATTTCCCATTATGAGCCAATTTTATATCAGCTAGAAGTTTGTAAAAAAATGTAATTTTTCAAATCACTGGGACAACTTTACAATTTAAATGCTTTTTGAAATTTAATGAATAGTTTGATCTGTCTGTGATGGAAGAGATGTCAAACCATGTATATTGAAGTCACCACAGTAACACCTGGCTCCTGTATGGTTTAACATATAACTTGTAATATAGTTACAAAATTATTCCACTGTAAAATATGATTATGTATATATAGCAGCTTACTGCAGGAATCATAGTAATGTTTTGGGCAAGGAACTGAAAGGGGAAAAAAGATAAAATGTCCAGTTATACAGTATTTGCTCCTCTAGACAAACATTATGTAGTGTATGAACAGAAACTGCATGCTATGTGACTGAACCAAATTCTGGGTTGTCTGTTGCTGTTTACTTGCAAACTCTCTTGGGAGAGAGATTTACAAGTTCTGTCTACCAGGTTTGATATTTACTTTTTCTATATCTGGTTTTATTCCATTTTATTTATTATTTATTTATTACGTATTTTATTTTGTTTATATCTGGCTTTATCTAGTTTTATTCCTTTTTTTGGCTCTCATTTTAACAGAGATTGTGAAATTTTATTTAGGCTTTTATGTGTTAAAATAGCATATGACACAGCTTTTCAGTAGGCCTTTGCTTTTATTACTGTTGAAGTGTTATTTTGTTTGAGGAGTTTTTGTTTGTTTTCTTTTAATAATGCTGACTATTAAATGCTTTCAATTGTATTTTTATTTAGGTGGCAGAGAAGCTGGGGTATTGCTCACCGCTGTAGCCAACTACACAGTCTAGGTCGCTTAGTCCAACAGAGACCCGAAGTATTAAAGAATGTTAAAGGTATTTCTGTTGCTTGTTTCTTATATCCTAATATAGTATTGATTCAAAGACGAGCATGAGTCTTCTGTGGTAAGGGAGCTCTAGTGCTTTTCAAGAATGCTTTTGATAACTGCAAAAAAAACCTGCCAGGCTTACTGAAAAGCTGGTGAAAACTTACATTTTAAGCTACTGAGTATTTTTTAAAGTGACCTTTACTTATAGTGTGTTTGCTACACTCAGCTTCTATTTTACTTCTTAATAAATGCAAACTGAGTGATTTGAAGGCACTAGACTTAGTACTAACAATGAAAAGTAAAAAATCTATGCTGAATCTCTGAAAGGGTGGAGGTAGCAGTAGATTGTTACCTATGGTAGATTCAAGACAAAAATGCTAGTAGCTCTCTAAAGAGCCAATATAAGGACACCTTTGAAATCGTGTCTTCTCTTATCGTGCATGTTTCATAAAATACCTATATTGAAGTCTGTATGTTCTGAGGAAAAACTAAAGCATTCTGTAAACCTGACCTGCCATTCTTCTTGGACAGCTCTTTGACCTGTGGCAGTAGCTGTTTGCTATAATTGTAACTCCACATTTCATGCCTGTCTGCAGGTGCTCAGTTTTGAGTGGCTTTCATTTGAGGGTTCACCTCATCCTTTGTCAACCGACAGAGTGGTTAGGACATTAAGTAGTAGTTTTAAATTGTGTCAGATTTCAAATTAGTTTCTTTACCTAAGCGCACTAAGGATTTCAAGGACTAGAGAAGTCTGTCTTGCAAACCTGTTACAGTCTCCATCTTTGAAGATCTTTAACAATATACTGGACAAATGCCTGTCAGTAATTATACAGGTGCAGTTGATCTTGCCTTGGGGTACAAAGATGGACCAGATGCCTTAAAGTCAGTGTTGGTCTTTAAGGATTTTGGAAAACTGATTTCTGAGAGCAGAAGCTGTAAGCCTTGTCTCGCAGCTCAATACATGCCACTGAAGACTTTTGTGGAAGCTTATTTTGATAAATACTTGTGCTTTTACCCTAAAGAATTGAGAATCTGTGTACTTCACTTTAAATAACAAAATACCTACAATCAGACTCAAAACCGATTTGGCCTCCCAAAAAATAAGCCTAGTACTATCCTTTTATGTTGTCTCTATTCTTTCTAAAAAAAAAAAAAAGCACCACAACAAAACACCTAATGCAAAGGCGCTTCTCATGGCTTGCATATTGCAGAGTTCTGTGGGAGTAGCATTGAATGTCTGTGCTAATAGTTCTCTGACCAACCCTTACCTTCTTGATCTATACTTTAAACATATATTTCCTACTGTATACATGATTTGTACAGATTCTTTGAATATGCTGTCTGCTGCGATTTTCTCTTATTTTAAAAGTAATTCTTTGTAAGAAAAAAGTCCAGTTAACTAAAAATATATCACGTTTAAACAGGGAGAAGGCAAATGCTAAGTAAGGTTTGTATGAAAAAAAATTCTTGAACTGGAGTTTTCTAGAATCACTCTTTTAAATTTTGAGAGTAACAGAAACACCTACTCCTGTGTGTTTGTGCTGCAGAAATGTGTTGCTTGTGAAATGTTAGTAGCACATGTTAGCATGTTAGCACGTTAACATGTTAGCACATTGTGTTAGTAGCACAACCTTAGATAATTGTGGGAATAATTGCAATAACTCGTATTATTAAAGAGCTTTGTTCAATTTTTAGGGCGCACGGTGGTATTTACAGACCGTTCAGGTATGAGTGCAGCAGGCCACATAATGCTGGGGACCATGGATGTTCACCATCACTGGACCAAAGTAAGAAGACTTCAAAGTAAATGATAATGCCTCTTGTTGTGACATCCTGTTTTCAACTATAACCAAAACATTAATTGGTGCAGATAACTGATGAGTAATTTAAAGCAAACACAGAGCTACTATGTTTAGCATAACTGTATACATTGCATTCTGAATGCAATTCTTTAATGTACTGTTACTAACAACAGTCTTTGTCAGTTCTTTATTGCTGCTTTCACTACAAATCAGTCCTACCCCTGATTAGATATAAAGAAAACTAATTTGTTATGCAGTGTTCCAGTCTATGCAATGAGCACTGGGAGAATATTTTATTCTCCATAAAGAGCTCATTCCCACGAAGAATTTAGGAATTTTATTCAGATTTTTTTTTTATAATGGGACTTCAAGGGAGTTGTGAAGTGATCATTTCAGTCAATGGCTGCTAACCAGCCATGTCACTCCACTTACTCTTTTAGGCAGATAATGTGGATGTTGCAGCAATTTATCTTTAGTGACCATGTGAATTAAAGTTTAGAGTTGACAAGCTTTCTGACATTGTAAATGATAAGGTATTATATGCAAAGCTACAAAATACGTAGTGATATCAGCATGTCACTTAAGGAAGTTTTCTTGAATCTTGGTTGCTGAAATATTATTGATAGTTCTATCAAAAAATATTTATTTGTAAAGGAGATAAGTGGTGAAATGTCATAGTTGGGAATTTCACCCAGCTAGACTAACAGAATATTCTATTACTGTATTCCAGTCAATGAATAATATGAAAATGTAGCACTCAGTCCAAAGCTTTCTTTGGTGGTGGTTTGAGTTTTTGCCTATATATGTTTCACTCGAAGAAAAAAAAAAAAAAAACCACCACGGTT